GTGAGGTTTCAATGCACTTCATACAGTCATGGCCAAAAGTTTTGAGAATGATTCAAATGTTAATTTTTACAAAGTCTACTGCTTCAGTTTTTATAATGGCAATTTGCATATACTCCAGAATGTTATAAAGAGTGATCAGCTTAACAGCAATTTTTGATTTTGGGTCCATGGCCTGGAAACTCCCCAGATCTTAATCCCATTGAAAACTTGTGGTCAATCATCAAGAGACGGGTGGACAAACAAAAACCTAGCAATTCTGACAAAATGCAAGCATTGATTGTGCAAGAATGGACTGCTATCAGTCAGGATTTGCTCCAGAAGTTGATTGAGAGCATGCCAGGGAGAATTGCAGAGGTTCTGAAGAAGAGGGGTCAACACTGCAAATGCTGACTTGCTGCATTAACTCATTCTGTCAGTAAAAGCTTTTGTTACTCATAATATCATTGCAATTGTATTTCTGTATGTGATGAAAACATCTGACATACACACATGAAAACCAGAGAGCAGCAGATCATGTGAAAATATAATATTTGTGTCATTCTCAAAACTTTTGTCCATGACTGTATTAATACCTGTATGGGTCCCAATACTGAAAACAAATTCTAATTTGGGTATCAGTGACAATGTGCCAGGTCCATAAGGACAAAACTTATGGACCTGTCTAATTCTATCCTTTGTGCTCTGAGCAACATTGGAGCTCAACTTTTCTGTATTGGATCGGTATCGGCTGATACTAAACCTCAGATATGGATATTGGTACAGGAAGTGAACAAAGTGGATCAGTGCATCACTCATTGGTGTCAGGACATTCACCTCAGACCCACTGAGGGAATCTTAACTACTTTATTTTTGTCCTTTGATCTCAGTAAAGACAAAGCTGAAGTTTTAGTTATCGTTGCAGACATTCAAATCAATTCCAGAAATATTGGGAACATATTTCATGTAAAGATACAAACCATCATCAACATCATCTGGAGGAAATTGCCAGAGTGTGACCAGTTCTCTCCTTGTCCACAGCAGAGACTTTAGCTCACCTTTTTGTAAACAGGTTATTGTATCGCTCTGCTTTCTGGTCTTACTAAAACAATTAGGCCGCTCCCCTGTGACCGTGAAAGAGCAATGAGTTTAGACTGTGGATGAAAGGATTTAAAGGGTTTTACGAGCTGTCATGAAAGCGACAGAGAGGATCCTGACTTCTTGTGGTTTTGGGGTTAGAACTGAATGTATTACTATGTGCCAATAACAAGGGGAAAGTTACAGATTAGATTTAGGCATATTAGCAACTGAAAAGAAAAACTGTGATGAACAAAACACCATCAAAAATGAGTCACAGGAACTCTGGACTTCCGTCTGAACAACCAGTTACAACAAAAATCCAAAAAGGAGTTACCAAGTTCACTAATTACACAGAGTGAAGGTGGCGTTCCCAAACAGGAGCCATTCCCAAAAGATTTCCACTTTCTTCGTTTTAATCTGATCACCTGATTATCTGAGCAGTCGGTGAGTTGTGAAATTTGGAACAGAGGAGTCAGGCTGGAGCTTATCTCAGGACAGAGAAAGCAGATTCCAGAGAAACGAGTTTCTGGCATGAAGAAGATTAAGTGAAAAGAAGATGAACCTGGAAGGAACGCCTTGTGCTTTTTGATGGAAGACTGTTCAGATCTGGACTTTTCAGCCAAAACTGGAAAATCATATGGCAATAAAGTCATGGAGGATCAGAGCAAAAAAGAAGAAAAAAGAGGGGGAAAGCAGCATGGGGAGTGGAGACAGACAATGACAGAGTTGTTTTCTGACGCGGCGGTTTGTCGGCCTACCTGTCCCGGTCAGAGCGCCGAGCAGCAGCAGCAGGAACAGAGCCGGGGTCTTCAGCCGGGGGCCCATCATATTATCAAGCAGAGGCACACACTGCCATTCTGAGCCTGCTTCCTCCTGTCCTGTCACAGCATCACACTTCCTGATCTAACGTTTTTTGTTTTTTTTAACTAAGCCACACGAAACACACCCACACTCACGTCGATTGCTCTCAGATCTGATGCAACAAGCAGAGTGTGTGCTTGTTGCTACAAGTCTGATGGCTCTTGATCTGCACAGCGATCACATTCCTGTTAGTCAGGTCAGCAACGGCACCAAGGCGGTGCCGTTGCTGTGGTGAGGGGTAGAGAGAGCTAACTTTGAGGAAGGAAGAACTTCTTCCAGAAATGGCTCGGTGGTGAATGCCAGCAGGTCAGGTGTCTCCTGTCAAACAGCCGCAGCGAGGCGGCTCGCAGTTCACAGTTGTGTTCTTCCTGCAGGGTCCCAGAAAAACGGCGTGCAGTGGATTAGCAACCACGGATCCGAGGGTCATGCTGCTGTGATTATCTCTGGGTTCGCTGGCCTACTTTCAATAAAAAGACAAGGCTCCACATGGTTTTCTTCCAGGAAGGACAGCGACAGAGACGGGGCGTGTTTGAACACGACTGCTGCAGCCAGTCTTATCAGTCAAGCAGGCCTCAATTTTTGGCACAACAAAAAGTGGCATTGAGGAGCAAAACAGCTGGAGAATTTTCTCGGAAGGCTGGTTTTCACAAGAGCCAGGCGACGTCAAATGACTCCGTCGTGGTCCAGAAACGAGATGAAAACACTTCGGATGAGCAGAGAGAAATGTCTGTACGAGAAGACGAGCAGCTCACACAGTGACAGCTGCATCAGACTAAATAAATGAGATTATCATGGGGAAGTTCATTTATTTCAGTGATTTAATTTTAAAAAGTTACACTGAAGTTAAAAAAGATCCATTACCAACAGGGTCAGGCATTTCATTCTGTTAATTGGATCATCGTGGCTGTTAGCGCACTAAAACACAAAATTCTGATTCTCAGACAATTACATAGGAGAAATCAAGATGATTTTTGACAGTGAAATGTTGCGTTATGGCTGTGTTTTAACCAGTGCTGTCAATCTATTGAAACATGTAATTGTGATTGATCATGCACTAGCAACATGATTAATCACTATGCCTAACTTTGTGAGCACAAAATAAAAATATGCATGCAGTTATAGGAATGCTGGCCTGAGCAAGCCCCGCCTTCTGTTCACTACAACCAATTAAAATGCAAGAAATTATCTGTTTGGTTTTTTTTTGGTTTCAGATAATTTCATGACTCGGCAGCAACTAAGGGAAACTTACACCACAATGCCTGCATACATGTAGTATCAAATTTGTTCAGAGGACAACTGACAGATATTTAATGGTTTAGTTCTAGGGTGTCCTGCCCCTTTCTGATGATGCCCTGGACAACTATACATTCCCGGCCCTATTCTCAAATTTTTTTTTATTGCCTCAAACCAAACGTGTCTGAAGATTCTCAGTTTTCTACGTTTTCATATTCAGGCAGGTTCAAAGGAAACAGTTTTGTTCTAAATGTTTTAGTTTAGTAATGTCCCTCTCCATTCATTTCCTAGGAAACTGAGCGATGAGGCAACAGTAGCTCTTCCTCATCCAGCTGAGCGACCGCAGTAAATGCATGTGAAACTTTGAGCTCATAGATGTGAACATGCGAAGCAACACAAGACAGTTGAGAAATGTTCAATTTTAAGTGTTGTCTAAAATATGATTACTTCTTTTCTGTGTTGTTTTAACACAGACTTTGTTTGATTTTGAAGAGGGAGAAGAGGACATTCTCTCTTTTTTTAAATATTTGTGCTGTTGTTGTGATACTGGAAATTTGTACTCAGTTACTGTAACCCATCAAGCTGTGTGTGTGTGTGTGTGTGTGTGTGTCTGGGCGCTCACCCACACAGTATGTTTTGATAGCACTATGCTGCCAATATGATTCACCACATGATCTCATGCAAGCCCACAGTGTGATTCCTATTAAGCGTTATCAGATGCTGGCAGATAAAGCTGAAGACATTTGATCAAACTTTGGATTTGTCACAGACTGCTGGTTGCAAATGGCCAAAAGATCCAAAGGCAAAGTTTTTTTTGTTTGTTTGCTTTTTATTCGCTTGTTTTCTGTTAGATGTCAGCACAGCACTGGTTCACCGCTTGAGTTAAAGCCTTTTTATGGCAGAATAATTGGTTGATTTAGTAGAGTTGAGTGATTTAACAAACCTGGAAGAAAAACTTATCAAATTTTACTACTTTTGGCTATTAATTGAGATGTATGTTGATTGCAATCCAACAAACTGTTGAGAGAAGCTTGAGGAAGGAATCCCTTATACTGACCAAATGTAACTTTTGAACATATTTTAGGAATTTGAAAATTTCTAAAATATGTTCTCGCCACATTTTCTGACATTTAGCAAATAGAAATAAATTTGGCAATTCTAGCTAAACTAAAACAAGAAAGGTTTACTCTAACCTAACTTCAAACAGTGAGAAAGAGAAAATGTGTTTGTATCTTTTTATACAGACACATATGTGTCTGTATAAAAATACATATATATAAATATATATGTAAATATCTGGTTTTAACTAGATCTACGTCTTGCTGAACCCCCCCCCCCCCCCCCCCCCTCTTTCCTCTTTTCATTTTGTTTTTTTTCTTCATCCCCTCTGTTCCTTCTT